CTCTTTCATTTTGTTTTCTTGTGAATTACTGGATAATTTTACTTCTACATGTTGTTCAAATAATACCATGATTTTCAGTTGCTTTGCCCATCCACATGAAGTCAGTTTGTAAACAGAGACTTAATCAATACCCCTACCTATGTTATAAAAGTCCCTTTTACACAAACTATGATAGGTAATACACTGTATGTGGGCCTTTTGCAAGGTTGCGATTTGTCACATCAGCTTGTTTGTTTTCAACCCACAAACAAAGTGGTCCGATTAGTTGACCTAAAGATCATATTATCAACCTGTTTAATAACACAATAAGGTGGTAAGAGTCTCAGATAAGAGTCCATCCATTGAGTGCTGTAGCTGGCTTAGCATAAAGACAATGTAGCAGGTGCAGGAGTCCCTCACAAGGGTTAATTAATTAATCAATTTATGCCTAAATTTCATCTTAATAATGCGATATCGTTGTGGAAATATAATGGAAATCACCAGAGCATCGCATAAATAAATAGTCTAAGTAGTCTTCGGTACATAGGCCTCGAGGATGTGCAGCTGTTCTTCACAGTCGTCCGTTACGGCCCGCCCATGAAAATTAAAATGCTCATTCAGTTAATTTCCTTTGACACCATAAGAAAGTGCTGCTTCACCACGAGAGGAGCGTGAAGCTTCTCATCAAACCACAGGAAATGAATCAGTAAAGGGCACTGCCAAGATCTGAAATAAGTGACAACCAGCAGTAGCAAGTTCACCTGTCGTTTCTCCGAGGACCTCTAAGACCACCTTTGGTAATCAGTGTTTTGTTTTTGGTTTTTTTTGTTCCATTATTTTTGTATTGTTGATCAGCATCAATGTACTAGCCCAGTGCAGAAAAGGATTCAGTTTCTTAGAGAGCAACTTTGTGAAATTGATCTTATTGGAAAGAATATTTTCAGAATCATTTTGTAATATTTATATATTTCAAGTAACACAAGTATGAAATAATTATGTGTATGAATATGAATGTTAGGTAGATAATGTAGTTAGGGGTGTGGGAATGAGACCAGATAGAATGAAGAAATAAATGAGTAACCTCATCTGAAAGATGTTTTACATTTCAGATTAGTGATCCATGTTATTTTGGTGGTAAACACCTGTCCCACTTGTATGTCTTTGATTATGCTCCATATGACAAAGTAAAACATGGCGATCTAGGATCCTCCAGCAGGTGTTGATAAAAGGTGTCTGAGATGACACAGTTTATGTCTGAAGTTGTTGGTATTTGTTTGAAGTATCCCGTTCACCGGTTGAGAGGTGGCTGTGGTTAAAACCTCTGGGGGTGTCCACTTCCTGCCTTCCTGCCTTTGGTGTTGTTGAGTGTTCTCCCACCTGCTGTGTGTTTTTAAGCTTTCCTGCAGCTTTAGGATCACAATAGACCCGTGTCAGGATGTCCCAGACTGCCTTTAGTTGTTGTTGAAAAATCAACCAACAGGATGTTGACACTGATTTTGTCTTTTTAAGTGCTCTGTTACATCAGAACAACATTTTCAAAAAAACTTCAGCTAACCCACTTTTTTTTACTTTGACAACAGTGTCAGTTTTTGTACATCCAGTATTGAATAGGATCAGAAACTTCTTAATCTTACATTGCATAAAGGGACGCATGGACAAAGCTGTCAGCATTTACTGAATGGGGAGAATCTAAGATTAACCCCATTTGTGGTAAATACAGGAGGAGGAGAAAATATATATTACTAAATCTTCCTTGGAATCTTGCTGCAGGGTGTTTTAAAGCCATTTTGTGGTAATATGTAGTTGATATGCTCCAGTTACAGCAACTTCACAAACTGTTTTTATTTTTGAGAGAATTACCCCACAAACTATTTATGACTACTACATTTTTGTCAGTTCAGTAATTAAATTATTTTAAATATTGTAATGAGACAGAATATTTAGTCACTGACAAAATTACAAACAGGCACTTAAGCAATTATTTTTGTAATGAGATTACCAATGCATTAACACTCTTTTAGGTCTATGCTGTATATGTTGCTTTTAATTAAAGTGCTAAGTGACCTGTTTCTCTCCTCTGGGTTTGAATCTAGTACACTACCCCCAGCTAATCTCCACCTCAGTATCTCCATCCACTAATCCTGACTGGCACAGCAATCGTCACAATATGCGGTGCTGTAGCTTAAAGACAAGATACCATACTATCCCTGTTTCACCCATGCTCCGCCCTGTCCCATAGGGAATCTCCAGTATAGGAGGAGCAGAGATGTGTTCCTGTCTCCCTGGTGCTGTTGCCAGGCAGTTTGCATTCAGCTGAATTAGTCAGCTCTCTTGTTTGAAAGCCTCTTAAGTGCTATCTTCTTAAGCTGGTGTTGACCATAAAGCTGTGTGGTGGAGAATGCTGCGGTACCGTAGTGCTGCCGTATGGCGCTGCACTAGGTAGGATGCCTCCTTCAGTAAATAGACCTAATTGGGTAATGGGATCTCTTAAGTGTTGCTGTAAGATACTGCAAGTGCACGGGCTTGTTAAAGAAGTGCTGGCATCCTAATCCTGTTAATAAGAAAAGGTGAAGGATAAAACTGTAGTATTTGAATGTGAACAGACTTATTGAGTGGACCTCATGTCTGATAGAGTAGATGAAACAAAAGCAACAGGGCTATGTAAGACATGGTTCACACTGTGATTAAGATGACTAAGAGTCTACAGTCATGCACAGCAGTGACTGACAATGCACTAACACACTAATGACATTACTCATATGCTTACGTTAAGCAAGTGTAATGGTTACCATGTTCACCATCTTAGTTTAGCAGGTTAGCATGCTAATATTTGATAATTAGCACTAAACACAAAGTTCAGCTGAAGCTGCTTGAAATGTATTTAACATTGCAGATGTTTTGTCATAAGTCAGTTACAGGTCACTAAAATTATTACAGGTCATCCTGAGGGGAACATGAATATCTGTATCAAACTGTTGATTGTTTAGAGATTTAACTCAAAATCACAAATGCCAACCTTATGGTGGTGCAGGAGAAAAAGTCAGTGTGTTTTATCCACTGGGGACATTGAATGTGAAATATTGACACACACTGACTCCAAACCACACATTTATTTAAAATTGACAATGTTTCAGTCTCTGTCAGACCCTAGTTAGGTAAAAACATTTAAAAGCAGTCACCATGCCTGTATATGTACCAATAAGCTGATAGGCTCTATGATGAAACCTGTAGTTAAGGAGGGAATAGTTGTTTGAAATATGCATAATTGCTGTCTTGCTGAGTGTTAGATAAGAAATTTGATACCACTCACATATATGTATGCTGAATATGAAGCTACTGCCAGCAGTGGACATGGGGAAAAGCTATCCTACCACTCACAAAAGGTGACAAAATCTACCAGCACATCTAAAGGTCACAAATTAATACATTCCATTTTGTTTGTTTACTTTGTTCAAAACTGAAGTGTAAATTGACCATTTGCTGTTTTACAAGGAGTCTATTTCTTGGTCAGGACTTGTCTAAGCAGCCAACTCAGCTTTGGACACTTTGTTTTTTGTAGAATCAACAAAAAGGCATTAGAAACCATAATACATGTTAAGATCTTTCAGTCCAAATTGGTGGACCATAACTAACCCATATTGTTATCCCTAGATGACAATGATATATCTGCAATACCCATGTATTCATGCACAGTAAAGAATTTAAAATGTAGCACTGGCATTGAGTAAAAGAAGCCTATTGTTTGCAACGATAAATGACTTATCCTCCAAGTGATTGTAGTAAGTGTTACTACCTTATAGGCTAGCAGATGCTCTTTGTACCTCTCAGGAGCTCTGCATGGGCTAGATCAGTAGATCAGGGTCTCTCATCCTCTCACAACCCTCTCCTGAAATCTTTATTTGTAGTCTTCTAAAGTGTTAAAGAATGCTGCTCAAAGTTTTGACAGTCTTCCTTCTGTACCCATTCATCCTGGAAAAATACTAGGCCTGCTGAAAACTTTTTTTTTCATGTTTGCCCTAATTTCAGAATGCTGAAGACGTTGCATTAAAAATTAAGACGTGCATCTTTTTTTGCTTTCTTTGAGGCATGGCACATACTAATATCTCATAGTGTTTAATGATGTTCGGAGAAACTAATGATCAAGTCCTTATGGGCCTGTTGGATAGATGAAAGCCCTCAATGGAATTTGATCTGTTTCCAAGTTGTTCAGAGCAGTGTTTTGTGCATGCATTGTAATGAGCTGAACTTGCATTTTCTCAAAACTGTTGATGCTGCACATAACCCACAGTCTCACAAGGATAATGGAGAAGCACTTGTTATTCTTAGTCAATCTGTTGTCTTAAGTAATTCCTACATTTACAAGACACATTAAAGATTCTGTGATAATTTATTAATTGTTACATACAACAAGACTTAAGTGTCTACAGCCATGTTGGGCTCTGTGAGGCTGTAAACATTCATAGTGGTGCTTCGAGCTAAAATGCTAACATCAGCATGTTAATTATGCTCAGAATGACATTGGTAACATGCTGATGTAGTACATAAGCACAAGTACAATGTATACTCACAAAGAAGTAATGATCACCATCATAGCATTTGCTAATTACCACTAAAAATAAAATACAACTTAGGCTGATAGGAATGTAATTAATTTTGCAAGTATTTGTTCATAAATCAAAGTATGACCTGATTGACTGATGATGGTGCCAAATGTCATGGCAATCCATCCAATAATTGTTGAGATATTTCTCTGAAAACCACAACCTCATGTCAAAAGCTAGAGGATCACCAAAGCCAGTAGGATTAATCCTCCATGATCCATGAACGTCTGTACAAAATTTGATGAACCATCGTATTTTTACCTATAGTTGTAAAGTATTTCAGTCATGACCAAGTGGTGGACCAATTTTGCATGCTGCTAGCATTGCTAAAAAGATAATCATGAACTATATACCCTTTTCATTCTAAACATGGGGCTGTTTACTGTATAATGACATATATCCTTTGTCTTTCTTTTGCAGATTATCCTGCAGTTCCAAGATCTTGCTGTAAAATTCTACTGTTGGCTTCAAGTCCACCGGAATAAAAGACCTAATCAGCGCAAAGTCTAGTTGATGACTGTAACGCACCCTCTCCCAAAGTCATCTGACCCTCCTCCTGTCCCTCCCCAGCATGGCTAGACGGAGGTTAGACTGCTTTCTTCTAGGCCAGTGCCTTGCTGGCCTGATCCTGGTATCTGTAGGACTATCTTTCGTCCAAAGCAATGAGTGCCCCCAGCTATGTGTGTGCGAGATCCGGCCTTGGTTTACTCCCCAGTCCACCTACAGAGAAGCTATCACTGTGGACTGCAATGACCTTCGCTTAACACGCATCCCGGGAAACCTCTCCAGTGACACTCAGGTTCTCCTCCTACAGAGCAACTATATTGCCAGGACCAGTGAGGAGCTGGAGCAGCTCTTCAACCTGACTGAGCTGGACTTGTCCCAGAACAACTTTAGTAGCATTCGGGATGTTGGCCTTACCAATATGTCCCAGCTCACCACGCTTCATCTGGAGGAGAACCAGATCACAGAAATGCCCGATTTCTGTCTGCAGGACCTCAGCAACCTGCAGGAGCTCTACATCAACCACAATCAGATCAACACCATCTCTGCCAATGCCTTCTCTGGGCTCCACAACCTGCTCAGGCTTCACCTCAACTCCAACAAGCTTAAGACCATCAACAGCCAGTGGTTTGAATCTACGCCCAATCTAGAGATCCTCATGATTGGGGAGAACCCCGTTGTTGGAATAATGGACTTTAATTTCAAACCCCTGGGCAACTTGAGAAGCCTGGTTTTGGCTGGGATGGATTTGACCGACATCCCCGGAAATGCCTTTGTGGGACTTGACAATCTTGAGAGCCTCTCTTTCTATGACAATAAGCTGGTCCGAGTTCCTCAGAGAGCTCTTCAGAAGCTACCTAACCTTAAGTTCTTGGATTTGAACAAAAACCCAGTGCACAAAATTCAGGAGGGAGATTTCAAAAACATGCTGAGGCTGAAGGAGCTGGGTATAAACAACATGGGAGAGTTGGTTTCTATTGATCGTTACGCTTTGGACAACCTTCCTGAGCTCACAAAGCTGGAGGCTACAAACAACCCCAAGTTCTCCTACATCAACTGTCAGGCCTTTCGTGATGTCCCAGCCTTGGAAAGTCTAATGCTAAACAACAATGCCCTGAACGCCCTCTATCAGTCCACAGTAGACACCCTCCCAAACCTACGTGAGATCAGCATCCACAGCAACCCTCTTCGCTGTGACTGCGTCATCCAGTGGATGAGCTCCAACAAGACCACCGTCCGTTTTATGGAACCTGTGTCCATGATGTGTGCCATGCCAACAGAGTTCAGGGGTATGCGTGTGCGGGAGGTGCTGCAGAAGAATGCAGCAAATCAGTGCTTGCCCATGATTTCTCATGACACCTTCCCCAGCCACCTCAATTTGGACATTGGTATGACTGTGGACTTGGACTGCAGAGCCATGTCAAAGCCTGAGCCTGAAATCTACTGGGTGACGCCTATGGGGAACAAGGTGATGATGGACACCCTATCAGACAAGTACAGCCTCAGCAGTGAAGGGACATTGAGAATTTTTCATATCCAAGTAGAAGACTCAGGCAGATACACCTGTGTGGCTCAAAACTCAGAGGGAGCTGACACAAGAGTGATAGCTCTTCGGGTAAATGGCACTCTGTTAGACAGCACTCAGCTTATGAAGATCTATGTCAAACAGACAGAATCCCACTCAATCCTGGTCTCCTGGAAAATAAACTCAAACATAATGACCTCTAACCTAAAGTGGTCATCTGCTACCATGAAAATAGACAACCCACATATTACTTACACTGCCAGAGTACCTGTGGATGTCCATGAGTACAACCTTACGCATTTACAACCAGCAACTGAGTATGAAGTGTGCCTCACCGTCTCCAACATCCATCAACAAACACAGAAGTCGTGTGTGAATGTGACAACGAAGCAAGCGACCTTCGCTGTGGAAATATCCGACCAAGGGACCAACACTGCTCTTGCAGCAGTCATGGGAACAATGTTTGCAATCATCAGTCTGGCCTCTCTGGGTGTGTACATTGCTAAGAGGTGGAAAAGGAAAAACTATCACCATTCTCTGAAAAAGTACATGCAGAAAACCTCCTCAATACCGCTAAACGAGTTGTACCCTCCTCTTATCAACTTGTGGGAGGCAGACAGTGAGAAGGAAAAAGAGGGCTCATCCGAGACCAAACCTAGCCAAGTGGACACCACACGCAGCTATTACATGTGGTGAAAGCTACTAACTATCCAGTGGGAGGTATAGAGACATGTTTCTTTCAGGAGCACAAATATACATTGTTTGCTTCTTTGTGTAAAAGTGGACTGAGTCATTCTTTTCTTTCCTGTTTCGTTTTTATTTTCTTCGGTTCTCTCAGACTTGCTCTTTGAAGCGAACAACGAACCAACATTTTCAGATCTTTAGGTTAGCATTTTGCCTTTTTACCTCTCGCTAATTTTGACACACAATATGGCAGCTTTGTTTAGCTTCCTGGACTTAGTAGTCACTGTGCTTTATTTTTAGTACTTGTTTTGATGAACACAGCATGAGCATTGTCACTGATTCAGGATGCGTGAGCAAAGGAAAAGCTGAAATCCGACCCGTTTTTGACATGTTTTCTCTGGCAGAACTGTTAGAGACTGCAATCTTTCTTTCTCTTGTAAAACAGTTTCACTGTTGACTGTTGTGCACTGAAATATATATACTAATTTGTCTATCAACTGAAATATAAGCTGACAAAGTACGTTTAGACTTGATATACCGTCTATTGAATAATGTTAGCAATTCTTCTGTAATGTTGTATCAGCTATGATTTAATTTACTTTTTTGTACATTAAATAACAGTATGTTTGATTTAGACTTTAAGTTTGCAGAGCAACTACTGTAAACCAGCAATAGAAATATGAATGTTATAAACTAGGTAAATAGATGTAAGGCTTTTTAAATTTCTTAAATATTTCTTTTCTTATTTTGCTAGAATATGTCTACAATCACTCGTTTTGTTGTGGTTTCCACACACAAACATGTTGTTTATTGAGGAGCAACTTAAATAAAATCTTCTTTCCTCATATTTTTTAAACCATGATTTCAACACCAAGTGTCATTTTTTTCGAAAACTACATGTAGTTCATTATGTAATACTGTATATTTAATGAATGTGCTTGGGAGAAACAGACATTTACAGATTGACAGTAAAGGTTTGAAAGTTCAAATTGTTATTGCAGGGACAATCATCTCATTATTAATGTTTTATATTATGATTTTGTTAATTTCAGTGTGATGAGCGTAGCTGTAGGTGTTAGGTTACAACCTCAGTGTTGAGAGAGAGAGAGAGAGAACGAGAGAGAGAGCTGCAGACTGCAGTGTGTTTTGCCTCTGCAAAGCAATTATCAGAGAATAATTTAAATTCTAGTCCCGGTAGAATATAATTACTGAACAATATGCCTCGAAGTAAATACAGTAACTTCAAAAACAAAGAAATTAGTCACTCAAAACCAAGACGTTGGATATATTGCCTGCATTTTTGTTCAGTGTCTGTTTTATTATACTAAGCATACCTCGGCATCTCCAAAGCTTTAGAGAGGAGGCAACATGGGGATTGTTAATGCAACTGACACAAGATCGAAGGAGATGGTGATTATGGATAATGGACAGTTATAGCAAGTACAGACTGCAGCGTTATTTAGCACCAAGCAAATCTGCATAATCATCCAAATGTTTCATATTCTCAGCATTTTGTACTGTATGTGGTGTGGAATGGCGGCAAATTTCGTCATCGTGCCTTGTTGGGTTTTTATTTGATACATTATATGTAGCTTTTCTTCATCTCTGTCGGTAAAATGATATAAGGCAACCATCTGCTTTCTCTGCAAAAGCTAGTGAAACGCTAATATGTCGAGTTACCATTAATGTCTCTGCAAGGTCCATAACTCCACCACAATGCAGATCCCAATCTCAGTGGCTCACTGTCTACAAAAGTGGATCTCCAGTGGGAGCCCAGAAGCTCTGTTTGTTTCTGATGTTGACTGACAGCTTTGAGCTTTGTGGTGCAATCAAACGATCTCCGTTTAGTCTCCCCTGACAACATGCTCGTTCTCCTGCATGCTCTCTCCGCCCCTCTTCTCCTCCATCATTGCAGGAATGGAGACAAATATTCTTCAGTGAAAAAGGAAGCATCGGACAGTTCATCAAGCATGTGCAACTTTGTCTTTGTGTAGAAGCTGTTTAAATAACACCATTCAGTCTTATCAGTGAGCACTAATCAAATTGAGATATAAGCAGATATCGAATATTAACGTATTTGTCAACACCTATAAATACACTATATAGTTATAGCATCCATAATTGGTGTTTTTATATGAATATGAAATACATTTTATATTCATTGTTATAAATACAAGACACAAATATAATTTATTTGTTTAATATTTATTTATTATAAACACATCTCCACTTCACATGGCATTTGAACAAACTCTATCTGCTAATGAAGGTCATGAGCTGCAGCTGATAGCTCCAGACAAAATCTAAGAAGTGGACCTTGAGTGAAGAGTTTTTTGTTACATACTAAGATCAAGAATGAACCTTCAAGCCAAACAAGTTTTAAAAATGAAGCATGGTAATATATCAATCATTCATTAACTGTTTGTACACCAACTACACATGCTTCATAGGATTGTTGACAAATACACTACTAGACATTCAAATGTCTTAATTTCTGCTTAAAGCTACATTATAGTCTGTTTTAAACTATTTATATATGCTCATAAATTGCTTGTAAATAGTAGTGTCGCTGATGCACATTATATATGTCAGATAAAGTCCCCTGATTCTAATGTCATTCTACTGTCAGGAACTGATTTGGCTCTGTGTGCACTGTGCATCAAGAAATGCTGATGATGAAATGGATTAAACTCTCTCAGACTGCTGCTTTTCCTCATGGATAGAGATGTCAGGAGATGCTGCAAGGAAAATGTCACTGAATGTCATCGACCCTTTAGGGAGACCTGTGTCCTGTGCTGAGAATGATGGACAGAGGAGGGCAAACTAGCCGTAGTCTGGCATTTGTTAAACTTGCACACTGAAACTGCTACTTTGAAAAATCTTCTGCGTCCTTTTATCTGCACTGAACGAATGAGTCTTTATACCGACTCAGTGTGTAGCCTAGTAACAGACCGGAAATCAGCTCATTGGGACAGCTATCAATGAAAGCTTTTCAAAGCGTGTGCTGGAGCCTGCACTGTGTCCCATCCCAGTGGCCTGTTTCCATGACAACCCCTCCCTCCATCCACCTGCGGGTGCTGGCAGCCAAGTGAGAGAAGTCCCTGGAGCCTGAAATACCACTGACAAGGTCAACACCCTGCAGGTGGGAAACCACTAAAACATCTTGTACGCTTTCAAAGGTGTGGAGCGAGAAAAGCTCCTTCTCTGCAACGAAGGTGAAGCAGAATGGCACAGCGCGCTCCTCTGCTGGGCTTCATGCTCTTTTTTCTTCTAGGTGAATCATGTAAAACTGTGGCTTAGGACAGGAGGAGTACTGTATGACAAACAAAATGGCATTGGGCAAATTTGCACACGCTTTCATTTGCATTTCTATAGGACTAATTTTTTTTTTTAATTATTTGACTGACAGAAATTAGACAATTTTAAAAAAAATACTCCAGCAAGCAGAGGTCAGCTTTTAAACATGCAAACACTGACAAAACCCACTTCAAGTTTCAGTCAAGTAAGTTTCTAAGCTGGTGTTACGCTGATGGGTGTTTGGGTTGTGCCCTGCCTCTTTCTGGTCTCAACTCTCTTTACTTTGAAATGTGGTAGAGCACCCAGTGGCTCACAGCAAGGGCTTTCTTCTTGTCTGTGTTTTGAGTTCTTTTTCAACATACCTGCTGCAGTCGCTCAGAGAAATTAATCAAAATTTAATCTTAGTCCAGTGAGAAGGTAGAAGGCGAAACTAAGCCAGAACCTGAACCCAAAAGACTGAGCGTCCGCTTTAGGGGCTGTGATCAACCAAAAAGAAGGTGAAGAAGTAGTTGAGGGAACTGAAATGAAGTCCTACAGTACTAGCAACACAGCTCTTCAGCCCTTCTGATTCTGTTAGAGTGGAAAGTTAAAGATTCTGTAAGCAATCGTCACAGCCACTAGATGTCACACAAAACCACATGCATCTCAGACCAAAACAAATGCTTCATCAGCCATAACTCTGGCCTCCCTCTGGCGGGAGAAATTCAGCCTTGGACACAGACAGAGCCGGTTAAAAACTTTATGGATTTTGATGGTCCACCAGCTGACCAGGAATTTTGCCAGTGGTCATCGTGTCCAGACCTTTTTAGCCTAAAAACATGGCTTCTTCAGTGGAGGAAGGTCGATTTCACCTGAATGCTGCGTACTGCACTGTGCCATCTCGCATCAGTTAGTCCATGTTGTGCTCCTCAGCCTTCAGTTATTACAGTAGGAAGTAAGCTAGTTAGCCATACGTTCTTCACACTTTAGCTAAAAAAGAAAACCCTCCTTCTCCATTCTGTAAATGCCAAGAACTGCTCTCACTACAGAGCCGTGCACACCACTTCAACATGCTGAGAAATCCAAAGCTTAACAGGCCTGCTGTGCCTAGTTATGATTGCTAAGCTATGATTGGACAATCACTGTCAAGGGGAGAGGTATAGTCAAGTCAACACTCTTTGTGTTCTGGTTTGATTACTGTATTAAAGAAATACAGCAAGATTTTGGGACATGGGTTCATTTATTAAGTGGATGTCTGGGGGGTTGATTGGCTCTGGTTCTCTAAATATTGTGCTAAGTAATAGTTGGCAGTTTCAGAATAAAAGATTTAAGATTTTATCCAATGCCTCTATTATATGGCCTGGATATTCATTATCATCACAATGGATGATTTCAAAGTCTGTGTCTGATCTCTAAATAGATAAGTTGACAAATGGGGCAAAACTTTGTGATTTTCCTTAATCAGGTGTTTGCCATGTGATGTAAATGAGCATAAAAACACATGTATTTTCCAGTGCTGCAATTAGCTACAGGGAATATTGACAGCCAGTGAACTACAACACAATTTTATGTTAAAGGCTGCTGTTTACAACCAACTAGTGCGTTTCTTGAGTGAGAGTTTCCTGACAGCAACCAATCCATAAACAACACAGACATTTGTCCAATAGCAGTAAATATCACTGTTACAGCAAGCACATGATAACTAATACCTGCTGGACCTGTATTTAAAACTGCCCAGCAGATAAGAAAAAAGCCTGAACTAATCCAAAATTTAAGATCAATACAAACCCTTACATATGGACAACGCTGTTATTAGATTCATAGAAATAGGGATTTTTATTTTCTCGTAAAAAAACAGTTAAGTTATAAGTAAGCCTATCACCTTTCATATAATATCCTACATGTAGCGTCTCACAAAGCCTGAACACCTTCATATCATGGAGTCAGCAAGTGAGTGAACCCCTTGTACTGGAGTTAGTGCTTGCACCTAAATCCTGATATCTAAAATTATTAAACTAATAACAGCAACTGTAAGTGAAACAGAAATAGCCATTTGGCTTTACTCCTACTCAGTGGAGGAGCAAATGAAATATGTGTTAACACCCCCACCCCCCGATTACACCAACAATATGCATCATCAGCTTCACCCCACTCAAGATCGCATTCGACAGTAAAACCAGTAACATTTTCTTCTTCTGAGTTGACTATGCTGCCATAACAATCTTTCTTTTATATTTCATATAAGTTGATGACTGTGGACTGTGGACGCACTAGCAAGGATGTATTATAATACATGTAGGCCTATTATAATGCATCCATGTGAACTTGTTGTTCAATGCTTTTAACTTCAAAAGTCACAAAGCATTGGCTCATAAGCCAGATTCATCACTTTTAGTGTCCCCTGGAAACACTTCCTATATGTTGTGACTATTTGCAGCACGTTTGTGTATTTGGATGTGTTATGAGTTTTGTCAAATTGATGAAGATGTTTTCTGAATTTCTTTGGGTTTTACCTATTTGTATGAGTTTTCCTAAG